CCTGCTCTGCTCGCGAGGCTTCGCCGAGCCGCGGCTCTCGTTCCTGGCCCGCTTCGGCCCGGCCCGCCGCGTCTTTGTGTCGCGTCAGCTGTGTGGAGCCTTCCCTGTCTTGGCGCCTCTTTATGGGGGATAAAAAGACGCGTTAGCAGTGTCTCCTCTGACCTGTCCTGGGGAAAACTTTTGACAGTCGTTAAAGCTGCGAGTTAGGGAAGACGTGGAACCGGTTGACTTGCCAGAAGCTGTGACTTCACCCAGGCCTTTGAACAAAGTTCTCCTGGTGAAGTCACCCTTGCCGTGTGATTATGAGTGGGTTATGTCCCGGGTCGCCTTTGTCTTCCTGTAATATTTGATCTCCAGGTACTGTAAGCAGTCTCATGTTTAGCTTTACCTCCTGATAGAAATACCTTTTTCAAATGTCTTTTTAGTTTATTTTTTTATTTTTGGTACCGAATAGAACTCAGGACCTTGCACTTGCCAGGCAGACGCCTGACCTACATCCTAGACCCTCACATAACTTTTTCAATCATAAAGTGTTACTTTTTTAGATACTTAAAAGATTTGGAAGTTTACTATGTAATACATTCTGCAATGTGGTACATATTTTTTAAAAATTTGGACAATGCATTTTTTGTTTTTGTAATTTAATGTGCTCTTTGTATATTGGTGTGAAGGATTTGCACATACCAGGTAATAGATTGATGAAACACTGGATGAACATGTATGACTCCTATGTATGTATGTGTGTGTTAAAAGGTGAATAAAATCATTTTCCTGATCGCTTGCCATTTTTGTATATTTTTGTAATATGTTAGTTACTATCCTAGACATTGTTTTACTAGCAGTTCCATAGTCTGGTGATCTTTCTTTTTCTCGTTTTGTTTTTTTGGTACCGGGATCGAACTAGGGACCTTGCTCTGGCGGCACCACTGAGCTAAATAAATCCTCAGCCCTCTTTTTCACCTTTTTTCCTTTTGAGAATTCCTTCATTTGGGTTTCAGCTGTTTTTGAAATGAGTAATTGGTTGTCGTTTCCTGTGATTCACCCCAGCATGTGGTGGGATTACGAGTTAGGTGTGTGAAACTTTTCGGGAAGGTTAACTGAGGTGCAGTGAGCTGGAGTACATGGTCAGATCCCCTTTCTCCATCAGGTTTGGTAAGTGGATTTCTTTCTCTCCCTAGTTCAATTGCCAGACAATCTTAGGCCTAATTTGCATTAAAGTTCTCAACACTGAATGCTCACGGATGAACTGACCACTGTCAGTTTCGAACTGTCTCTTTGAAGAAGGGCTTGCATCTTGAGAGAGAATTCTTATTCCTCTGGTTAGATATACATTAGAGCCCTTGGAAAACAACCTAGAAGGTTTAGCTGTGTGGAAGAGAATCAATGACCCCACTAAAGGAGACGCTCATTCCTTTTAAGACAAGTTAGAACAAAAACATTCGTCATAGATACATTCCTTGTGGGCTGTTCTCACCAGTAGTTTATTTCTTTACAGAGCTAGAGGCAGTAGAATTGTGTGGCTGAGGAATTACTGCACAACGAAGGGTGTCAAAATCCAAATCGGTACATTTCTTTCCAGTTTATTTCATAATGCTAGAGTGTAAAGAGTTCTTTACAGTGGCCAGGGGATCAGGATTATGAAACTAATGCTGCTGCTTGTGTAATCTTGTGTGATACTTGCATACTGTGGCACTTATTGGAGAGTGAGGGGCTGAATAGAAATCTCCAACTCTGTCTAAAGTGTGCAGTCTAAAACCTGACTCGGGGCCAGGGATTTAGCTCAGGCGTGCTGCCACCTGCCTGGCAAGTGGGAGGTCCCGAGTTCAATCCCAGGACCAACAACAAAACCGAACCTGCCTCAGTGTCCAGGCCTGGTGCAGTGAAAATGTAACAGGGGAAGGGGCATAGAGAGACCTTTTATTATGGAGATTGCCCTCCCTCACAACCTTCCTTTCCATTCTTTTAGATGAATTTGTTTTTAAATTGAGAAAAATACAAGTTAGTTATAATCCCACTCTTTATTGTAAATTTGGTGTAACTTTGAAAATATAAAAGCTGAAATAGGCAGTATTAAGCATAGGGTCCCTGATCATTTTGGGGTTCTCAATTCCTTTCACAGTCTAATGGAGAAATAGATACTTTGTCTAGAAAAATGCACCTATACACTTGTGAAAACATTTTGGTCTAACAGTGTACTCTTGAGCCGGCTCTGACTTGTACCCAGAGCTTCCATTAAACTTTGTTGCTTCACACCATACCGATTCTGTCTTTCCTGACAAAGTACCATTAGTGACAGGGGTCAGCAATGACTGAACAGAACTCCCTGGCTCAGTGTCTGGCGCACTGTCATATATGTAATGGGTAATGGTAAAAGCATTCTTACTTGTATTATGATATTTTATTACTAATATTACGATACACAGTTACGTTCACCTGTGATTTTGTAGTAGTATTTTTTGTGGTGACCAAGTATAGATTTGTATCATTTCTATTCTTAAATTATGGGTAACTCCATTGGGGAAGGAGAAGAAAAATTTTATTGTCGTTAATAGTCTTTATTGTTATCACCTAACTCACGTTTAAAGTTAAGTGATACATTATAGTCAAGATGTTAAACAAACATCTACAATTTGACTCTTGTGTTTTACTTTGATTCTGTGGTGCCTGCCTTGGGCAAACAAAAGAAAAGGAAACCAAGACAGGGTGAGTTCATCCTTTAGATACAGTTATTACTCTCCCTGGCTTTGGGCACCACCGAGAGGCCATTGTGTTTGGCTGTGCCCTGTGTGGCAGCAGCAATCACAACCTGTAGAAATGAAGAGTCAGGCAGATGTCTCTCCCAGAAATCGGATAGCTACTACTTAATTTTATTAGTATAAACAGGTCGCAGAACGATCTTTTTCTTTAAGAGTTAATATAAAAGAAGACTGGTTAATTTTGTATAGGGCTTTATCAAAAGCTTAGATTTCATTCTCTGAAGAGACTAAACACTGGCTTTGTATTACATAGAGTGAGGGAGGGGAAGCGCCTTGGAGTGTCCTTCTAATCCGGTATGTTCGCTTTCATCCCTTCCTTTCAGGTAAACATTTGGAAGATTTAGTGCTTCTTTCCCTCTCTCTGTAGCCCTGGCTTTTTTTGGTTTTTCACCCCACTTTTGCTAGCATTAACGTTTCATCACAGAACAGCTCTTGTCATGCCGTTCTTTAAAAGCCTCCATTAGCTCGTTGCCTGTTTGTTTTTTGTACCCTACCAACCACTTGCCAGAGAATGCGTCCTCTGGCTGTTAGGATCTTTCTACCCTTTCTTTTTACTTTTCTTCCCACTTAAGTGATGGTTGAACTACTTGTTACAAAATGTTATGCTTTTATGCCTTTCTGTTTTTACTTGATTGCAGAATTAATTACACAGCAGACTTTTTTTCAAAGTGTTGCATTCCAAGAAGACTATATTTCCAGTTTTATTTATGTCGGTTAAAGCATGACATGTTGCTAGTATGTTCCCAGAAGGATATACAGATACAGATTTTTTTTAAAAAAACTAACAAAAGCCCACTTTTTGGCACTTGGGGAGAATGAAGTACGTATACATTTACGGTAAACTGTTTTGCTCTTGGGATTTTAAATTGTCTTTCTAGTAATATAATTCCTCTGCATAAACATGTTCCTGGGAGCAGACCTACATCAGCTTTTCTTACCTGTGTTTAATAATTTATGGCAAAAGTTAAAATCATGAACACTTTTATCACATGATTAGAAGTAAAGGTTTCCGGGTGTGGTGGTGCACGCCTGTAATCCCAGCACTCGGGAGGCTGAGGCAAGAGGATCGCTATGAGTTTGAGACCAGCCTGAGCTACATAGTGAGTTCCAGGTCAGTCTCAACTACGTAGTGAGACCCTGTCTCAAAAAAAAAAAAAACCACCAAAAGCCGGGGATGGGCTGGAAGTGTAACTCAGTGGTTTGATCCTCAGGAGAGAGGGAAGAGAGGGGAGGGGAAGAAAGGGGAGGAGTAAAAAAAACAAAAAAAAAAAAAAAAAGAAGTAAATGTTAACTGCCTGGTCTTTTCTCTCTTTTAGCCTGCTCTTGAGGTTCACAGATGATACTTTTGATCCAGAACTTGCAGCCACAATAGGTAAGCCGAAATTTAAACATTCAGTAGAAATGCCATGTGTCTTCTTGCCTTTGGGCCGTTTTTTCCCACTGCCTTCCTGTCACCATCCCACTGCTTCCATGACCATTGAAATCTTACTTGTCTTTTAAGACTCAGCTTTGGCGTCATTACATCTCGGAAGTCTTTCTAGATCTCCCCCATCCACTGCGACTTCCTTCCCGTTTGTCTTGTGGCACTTTATTAATCCCACTGACAGGATGCACTCTGCGTGCACATCACTCCTGTGCCGTGGCTGGTCTTTTATTTGGTAGCGTATAACGGTAATTTCAGTACTTGTTGTGTGTCAGGTCCTGACCTATGTGGTGAGGCTGTAATGATTAATAATGCAGTTTGGTCTCTACCATCACAGACCTAATAGTTCGGAGTATCTGTATTTTTAATGTTTGGTGTAGAATTTGACTGGTATTCTGAACTGTAATATTTATTCATTTTAGTTACTAAGGATTATTAGAGCTGGATGTAGTAGTGCATGCTATAATTCCAGTGCTGTGAGAGGCCAAGGCAGGAGGAGGATGGCAAGATTGAGCCTAGCCGGGGAAACGCAAGGACTTAATGAGACTCTTATAAACAAAAATTACAGTTGGGAATGTCACTTAGCGTGAATACTCTGGGTTCAGTCCTCATTACAGTAAAAAGCAAGCAAATGCAAAGATTGCTAGTCGTAGCAATGCAACTCTGGAATCCAGGTTTTTTTTTGATACGGGGGTCAGACTTGGGCCCTTGCATTTGCAAGGCAGGTGGTGGAAACACTTGAGCCAAATCCCTGGCCCCCCAAATGTTTTTTAAGAATAAAATTTAGATGTCTGTCAGTGTTCATCATAGCATGTCAGAATATATGAAAAGGGCTGGGTGTGGTGACGCACACCTGTAATCCCAGCACTTGGGAGGCTGAGGCAGGAGGATCACTCTGAGTTCGAGACCAGCCTGGGCTACATAGTGAGTTCCAGGTCAGTCTGAACTACATAGTGAGACCCTGTCTCAAAAAACAAAAAACAAAACAAAACAAAAGAATATATGAGAAGGGGTAAATATCTCAGTGTCAAAGTCACATTTTAAGAGTAGAAAACAAAGGGATCACAAGATACTTTGGGGTAGTTGAAAGATGAAGTTGAGTAGAGTCAGACCTGGAGAGTTACTGGCTCTGACTCAAGAGGGGTGACCTTTGAGCAAGTCCTTAGACTTCCTTGTCTTTATTAGTAAATTTGAGAGGCTTAGGAGATGGATAATAACTTTTATAGCAGTTCTAAAAGTTCAGGATCTGCTGAGAAAGACTGCAGTGACAATCCTAGTATTACTAGGAAAAATAAAAAGTTTATTTTAATTGGCATTGTTTTTATTTGTGAAACAATTCTAGATTTAGAAATAGGTTGTAAAAATAGTGAATCCTTATATATCTTACCAACTTTCCTTAATATTTATTGCATTTGCTTTATCACTTTTTTCTCTACATATACTATTTTTTTAAATAGTTGAGAATAAATTGTAGATGTGATATCTTTAACATCAAAGTAATGCGTATTTCTTACATGAACACGGGTGTAATTCTGTCTGTGGACAGATTTTGCCAGCTGTCCCATTTGTAGCCTGTGTAACAAAAGAAAACGATATTTCTGGACTAGGATCCTGCCGAGGGTCAAGCATTAAGTTTAGCTGTAATTTCTCTTCCACCTCTTTTTGGTACCGGGGATTGAACTCAGTACCTTGGGCTTGCAAGGCAGGCGCGGTGCCAGGCGGTGAGCTAAGTCCCCTGCCCTCTTCAGTCTCTTCTAAGCTGAGTAGCTTTTCAGTCTGTCCTTGTCTTTTGTGGCCTTGACAGTTCTAAGAATACGGGCCAGTAATTTCTAGTGTCCCTCGTCCGCGCTTGTCCATGTCGTCATGGCTGCCTTCCAGTGTGCGTTTGGGGCAGGAATCCCACACCAGGTGCTTCCCATAGGCAGGAGGTGGGCAGCAAGCTTTGTCCCATTCAGCTGATGGACCTTGCTCACTTAAGGTGGTATATACCACTCTCTACTGTAAAGTCACTGTTTTTCCTTAGTAACCACGAGATTTCTTGTACAGACTATATAGAAATCCTGGTTCTTACTGCGCATTTTGCTGTCATTTTAGTGTTTATTGGTGAGTCTTACCTGTCACAGGTGATAACGGTTGGCTGGTTGTCAAATAATTTTTTCAAATGTTTTCTTTCTTTGTATATTTTTTATTTGAAATCTTGTAAGGAGAGCTGTTCTTTGTCTCCCCACAGGGAGCTCATTATATCAGGCATCACTTGGCTTTTATATGACAAAAGAAAGGGAATCACTTAGAATACTACTTGCTAATTGAAAATCCACTTTAATTTGGCATTCGTGTATTTGCTCCTATATAAAGTTGCTTAGTGGTAGGAACAATAACTGTTAGAAAAATTAACATGCCTAGAGATAAAATTTTACTAAAGGAGCCTAATATAAACTGTCTTCATTTTAAGCTCAAATGAATTATGGGGACTTAAGGAATGACACATCATGGGTTGTCCTTATTACAAAGGGTTTGTCTTTTGCCAAAACAAATACTAAGATTATTGCATGCTGATGAGAGAGAGAGAGAGAGAGTGTGTGTGTGTGTGTAATATATATATATATAAAATAATGACAGTGTCTCTCCTAACTAATTTTGGCTTAAAGTCTATTTTGTGAAATATAAGTATAGCTTCCAAGTCCCATTTTCTTAGAATATCATTGATATCATTCCTAAAATGGTATCATTGTTTAGTAATTCTTCTAATTTAAAATGTTACTTCTTAGGGCCGGGGGTTTAGCTCAGAAATGTTCCTCAAATGGGACCCAGGCCTTGACTATATTTTTAAAAGTATCTTTTATATCTAGGCATCAGATTACATTCTGCCTCCTGTACACAAATGGGCTTTAAAAATAAAAACATGTAGCACAATTGATAATGGCCTTATTTAAATTAGTGTTTTATAAAAAATTAGTTTTTGACTCATTAATGTACAGTAAGGAAGGAAGGTATATCATTTTAAAAATAGACTCAGATTACTGTCTTGTATAAAAACTTTTAAGAGAATTCTTAGATTTTGTGTTTAGTAGTGGTACTGTAATGTTGGCATTTTCTAAAATCGAAAATAACAACCCAGTAGTTTTGTAAACTAGAAGGCAGCGAAAACTGCAAGCCATGAAGTAAGGGAGCCGCTGGGCGTTTGACCGCGTTGCCTGTGGAAGTAGAGGTTTCCGGCTGAGTAGAAAGGCTGGGTGAAGGAATTAAAACCTGAATCCCGTTTACAGAAGCCAAAGGGCTGTCCTGAGATAAAGGCAGGAGCTGTCTTGCACCTGCTTTGATTCTAAGAAGTTGGGGAAATGAAGCCAGGGAGTCACACAAAGGAGCCATTTTTCCAGGCAGTGCTCTCTGTGGTGGGGGCGACGCCTTCGCATTGTGAGAAACTCCGAACACTCTCTCTGTGGTTGTTGAGAAGTTAAACACTTGTTGGAAATAACAGTGGATACTGTTTCGGAATTTTAAAAACTCATTATTGTAAAAGCCTATGGAACAGTTTAATAGGATTAATCCTGGACTTGGCAAGAAAGTCAATCTCACATTGAAAAGTAGAGATTTTACAACAGCAGTCTCTGATAATTTATTTTTCAGTTAATATTTTTATATGTTCCAGGCTTATGAGTTGATAGAATGTTAGTTAAAATTATCAGACCTTAACAATTTGAGGTTTTTTTGGGGGGTGTTTGTTTGTTTGTTTTGGTACCAGGGATCCTAACTGAGTTTTTTGGTAGATGGTTCTTTGAATTTTAATATAACATATGAAAACATGCATATACTCATATAATTGAATACCAAGCAGTTCTGTCATTCTGGAAAAACTACCTGGTGCTGTCCTTTTATACACAAACTTTTCCCTTGCCTCTAGCCAATGGCAACCACTGATACTTGGTTTCTTCTTTTGTGGTACTGATTTTTGAACTCTGGGCCTTCTGTGTGCTAGATGAATGCTCTGCCAATGAGCTACAACCCGAGCCTTTGTTTCTTAAAATTTTGAGGCAGAGTCTTGCTGAAGTTGCCCAGACTGACCTTAAATTTATAATGCTCTTATTTCAGTTTCCCTAGTAGCTGGGATTACATACATGGGCCACAATTTTACCTTTTTTAGCATAACATAAATGGAATCATGTAGTACATAATCTTTTCAAACTGATTTCTTTTACTTAGCCTGATGCCTTTGAGCTTCTCCAAGTTGTTGTGAGTCATTCGTTACTTTTTACTGCTGAGTTGAATTCCATTGGATGAATGGATGGACCATAGTTGGGTTATTCATCCACTAGCTGTAGGACAGCTGAATTCTTTGTGATTTTTTTTTGTGATAATGAATAGATTTAATGTAAACGTTCATTTACAGGATTTTGCATAAATATTATTTTTTTTTATAGCACATAGGCAGTAGTAAGATTGCTGAATCATATGGTAGATTCACATCTAAGTTTGGAGAGCATTTTGGCCATCCCCACTAAGAGCATATGAGAATTTCTGTCCTGTGTCTCTTATATTTAGTATGAGCAGCCTTTTAAATTTTTAAGCAGGCTGAATAAATGTGGGTTGGTATGATACTTTTCATATGAGACAAAACACCCAACACCCAAAGTTAAAGGAGGAAAGGTTTGGCTCACAGTTTGTGGCAGTTTTAATTCATAGTTGGCTGGCTTCAAGAAGGGTGACATGGCAGAGGGGCATCGCAGAAGCGAGGCAGTTCATGGCAGGCAGAAGGTAGCAAAGTAGCAAGCCATAAGCGACAAGCAGGAGCCCTCTTTCTGTCCCTTATATCTTATCCAGGCTGCCCACCTTTAGGGCAGGTAGCACTCACACCCAAGGTGGGGTACCCTTGATCCCAGCATCACACACCTTAGATCCAGCCACCTCTGGAAAACCACACCTGTGACTGTGCAGGGCTTTGGGGGACATCT